GAACCTCTAGAGAAAATTTTTCAGATCTCTTACTCAGTTTGCTGGAAAAAAATAAAGCTTGATTTCAGATCTTTTCATAAGTTTCATAAGAGATTATCTTTTTTTCTGAAAGCCTAAATTTTTTTGAAATATTATGAACTTATATATATTCAGATACACTAATGAGTTTTACAAAAAACTCAACCAAAATCTTGTAACATGTAAAAAGAAAAAGATTCATCAATAGAAAGATGAGGGGTTCCGTGTTAGAGTAAAAACAAACTACTTAATGACTATTTTTTATAAACTAACATTCAACAAAATGTTATTGATTGACTTTAATGGGTATTTAGAAAAAAAGTTTGAATTATCTTATTTGAAGGTGAATTTTAAGAAATCTTAAGAAAATAAAACAAAAGTTAGTGTTATTGGTTTATCACTTGTTTATTTTTATTGATAATAAGCCCTAATATAATGATATACAATTACGACAACGAAGATGCAACTTAAAACGACAACATAAAATAAAATAAAATTATTTTTTTTTCAGCATGAGAAAGGTGTTAAATTGTTGACATAAATGTTTTTTTTTCTTGTTTTTTATGCTAACTATTTATGTATATATTTTGTAGTTTTAAATTATTACTAGAAAGGAAATTTAATAACGTAATTTTAAAATTAACATTACTACAATGATTAGGTGGTTATTTTTAAATCACTACTCATTAATTTTTTGATAAAGACAACGAAAAACACTTTGATGCAAACCAGGGTTATGGATTTTGTCTCAAAGTCACTTGTTATGATGACTAATCTAAAGGTAGTTGATCAATGCGGGTTGAGGACTGCTTAGTTTTCAGGCTTGCTCGAGTTAGGTCATTTCTACAGTTCTACAGCTCAAGTTTCCTTAAATTTGTGCATCTATCTTTATTTTATGCTTGATATAATGTTGTAGCCTTTAGCTTGCTTTTATTTTTTGTTCGATTATGTTCATGAATCATGTAATCACCAAGTTTATCTTTTGCTTGAGCATGTATCTTCGAGTTTTGGATCTCTTTCGATCAGAAATAGTATTGGGAGAAGAAATACTTGGTACTTGTTTTTGAATTTTATCGGATCATGTTTTTGTTTCCTTTTAAAACTGCGTATGAGATTTATGATATGTTCTTTGGTACTTATGATTTTCAATTTACCTCATATGACACTGGAATTTACTTTTATAGTTAACATAATAAAAAAATAACCGGGGTCGTTTCGAACCATTCTGAATGGTTCTTCTTCCAAACACGAAGAATAATATATATATATATATATATATATATATATATATATATATATATATTTACATTTTGGAGTTTATTTTTAATATGTTAATAACAATATTACATCAAAAGGGTACCATTTTCTATGAAAAAGTCAAAAACTACATATAGATATTCAAATTTTACATATCATGTAATAACAAAATTATTTTTAAATACACATCCAAATAAATTAATATAGAATTAATCAACAACTTAGTGACACATAAGCCATATGTATTATTGTAATCCACACAAAACCTTTTCCATTAATGATATATATATCTCTTACATCATAAGCAAAACTTTTGCTTTTCAAATAAAATACTATGTATATTCAACTTAATGACACATAAGTTCTATGTATTATGGTAAAAAAATATAAAATCTATAAATGATTTGATAATATAATAATATATTTTATCATGAGAAATCACAATAAGAACAAATATAATGTCAATGATATTCTTACAAAAACACATTTCAGTATTTTTAAGCTACTCATATTATAAAAGAGAACACATTTACATAACTAATGTCGATTAATGAAATAAATAATTAATATAACAAAGAAAAATAATTTTGTGTCCTTAAACTCAGATTTAATTCTAATACAGAAAAAACTATCTTTCATATTACACGTCGAGAATTCTAATTAAAGTGTTTAGTTTTGAAGTTCTAGATATTATTTACTTGTAACAATAATTGTTTTTTAATATTAAATATATAAAAATTATTTTAAAAGTAGCTAAACATATTTCAATATATATATATATATATAGTTATAAAATAATGTATGTTTAGTATATTAAGTCACCATGTATGGGTTGGATGAAGCTGAATACTGATGGTGCGTCTAAGGGTAATCTGGGGATTGCAGCCGCTGGAGGAGTATTGAGGGATGGGGAGGGTAATTGGGTTGGAGGTTTCGCGCTAAACATAGGCATTTGCTCAGCGCCTTTAGCGGAATTGTGGGGGGTCTACTACGGGTTGTACATCGCGTGGGAGAGAGGAATTACGCGGCTGGAACTTGAGGTAGATTCGGAGATTGTGGTGGGTTTTTTAAAGACAGGGATAAGCGAGCAACATCCCCTGTCATTCCTAGTATGTTTGTGCTACGGCTTCTTTTCAAGGGACTGGATAGTCCGTATTTCTCATGTGTATAGGGAGGCTAACCGTCTAGCCGACGGGTTAGCTAACTATGCGTTTTCTTTACTGTTGGGTTTTCATGCTTTGGATTCTAGTCCGGCTTTAATTTCTTCGATTGTTTTGGAGGACATGAACGGGTTTGCGCAACCTCGAAATGTTCCTATGTAGTTGTTATACATTTTATTAATAAATTGGGGGAGACATTGGCTCCCCTCTTCCTACCAAAAAAAAAAAAAAAAGATATTGTCTTACAATGTAAAACATTAATACAATATACATGGATATCAAATGAACTCATATTTTGTTATAATAATTGTGCAATATATTATAAACAAAATTAGGCTTAGTTTATAAGACGTAATAAATGTCATTTACATAAACATTTGTTAGTTTTAAGAAAACACGAAGCCACTAATTATTTGTTCCAAAATAAAACGCGTACCAATGGTATATTATACTTTCTTGCAAAGTATATCCCATCAATACTGGCAGCCCATACGCGTAATTGACCACATCGAGGAATAAGTCTTGGTCCTGCTTTGTATACTTGAACGTCATATGAATACTCCATGTTATTGTTAGGTCCTTGCCTAAAAATACAATTCCATTTTGTTAAATTGGGTATTTCATCATGGAATTCAATTATAAATGGAGTGGCATTGAAGTCTAATCTTTTCACGCCTAGATCATCAACATTGGAATAACAATGATATTCGAGAATACGACCAGGAGCGAGTAGGTTAAGAATCACTACACGATTTTTGATGCAAGCTTGATTTAGCCCAAAACACGTAATAAAAACTAACATTAAAAATATGGTAAGTAACATTAAAAATATGGGATGATTCATTTTTGGATCTAAAACTATTATTGGAGTAAGAACAACATCAACATGTAGTATTTATAATTCTCTTATGTGGAAGATGTGTTTTTTTCCTTTAATTATTAAATACTCGTTTATGGTTTTAGCTAAATTTAAACATAAATATGAACCAATTAAAATTTGTAATGGTTTTAGCTAAATCTTATATAATAAAGTAAAGTTTTTCTTAAACACAAATTTTGAGAAGCCACCATTTGTCTCTCCTTTGGACATGTGTTTTCTTTTTTCTCAAATCCAAATATTTACAGTATAGTATATTTTGACTAAATTTAATTATAATATTATATAAAAATTATATCAAATACACATTTTCGTACATTTTTTTATTTTATTTTTTAACATTTAAAAATATTTAATGCTAAAATAATTTCAAGATATAAATATATGCCATTTATGCATAAACACTAACACATAAAAGTTTTTGTTACATTTATGTATTTGTTACAAGATCTGCAAAAAAAAACAAATAACTCATATTAATTAAGTTATTCTAGTATTGTTTTCTATTCTTTCGTTATGTAACACTTTTTTTTTTCTTAATAATTTGTGACATTTACTATTTTGTAATAGTTTCTCCCCTTATATGTTTTAAGAAATGTTTTAACAATAATGATAATAACTATCTTCTTCAGCCTATCCAGTAGTCCTAGATCATTAATTCATCTCCAGATCTTTTCTTGAGACATTAGCACAAAGAGCTATTTTGTAATAGTTTCTCCCCTTATATGTTTTAAGAGATATTTAACAATAATGATAATAACCATCTTCTTCAGCCTATCCAGTAGTCCTAGATCATTCATCTCCAGATCTTTTCTTGAGACATTAGTACAAAGAGCGATAAACTACAAAATATTTTAAAAAATTCTATACATTAGGTATATATTTTGGCATTTAAGCCATTTAACATTGAAATCTAAATCCCATTGATGATGTATCTTTGAAGTTATAACATAGCATGGTTATATTTGAATTTTTTCTTTTTTCTCTTTTGTGAAAGTTAGATCTTCTAGAGAAAAAATTTCAGATCTCTTAGTCAAGTTTCTGGAGAAAAATAACGTGTTTTCAGATCTCTTAATAATTTTTCATCAAAGATTATCTTGTAATTAATCAGAAAGCCTATTTTTTTTGGAAATGTTATGAACATATATATTCAGATACCCTAATTAGTTTTACACAAAACTCAGCCGAAATCTTGAAACATGTAAAGAGAAAAAGATTCATCAAAGAAAGATGAGGTGTTCCGTGTTAAAGTAAAAAGAAACTTCTTAATTAATGTTTTTATGAACTTACATTCAACAAAATATTGTTGATTGACTTTGATGGGTATTTCAAAAGATATTTAATTTATATTATTTGAAGATGAATTTTAAGAAATCTTAGAAAAAGAAAAAAGAAAGGTTATTTGTTTATCACTTGTTCACTTATTAATTGTTATCAATAAAAAGCTCTGATATAATGGTATATAATTATGACAACGAAGAATGCAACTTGAAGCGGCAACATAAAATAAAAGAAAAATGTTTTTGGTGCCTAAAAAAGATATTAAATTGTGAACCATAAATGTTTTTGCTTGATTTTTTGCTAACTATTTTTGTAATTATTTTGTAATTTTAAATTATTATTAGAAAGAAAATTTAATTACTTAATTTTAAAATTAACATTACTGCAATGATTAAGTAGTTATTTTTAAATCACTACTAACTAATCGTCTGGTAGAAGGGAAACACTTTGACACGAACTGAGACTAGTTGTCTCTAAACTAATTTTAAAACGGCAACTTCTTTTTAAAGAGATGGCCCAAGATTGAAGGGTAATCCTCATAAATAGGTTCTACCGTTGTGTCATTTTATCTTAACCCTTCGTAAAATATATATTTTAGAATGATTTAAAAACACAAAGGTTCAGTCCTCTCTAAGCTTACGTCTTACAGTTGTGTCTTTTTAGAAAATTGGATCCATTCTTTTAGATTTGTGTCTTTCTACCATATATGTTGTATTCTTATTTTTTATCACCACTTTTCGTTCTAATAGCTAGTTTTTTTTTTTTACAAACAGGTTTGCCTATGTAAATGTTTATGTATTTTCTTAAATTTTATAATATATATGCATCATTTTGAGAAAAAAATGAAAAAAAGAAAAAAAAAGTGTAATGATTTGAAATGCATGCATGTAAGTATAATAACTATGAATGTAGACTTTATGCATGCAAATTCCGTTCATTGGTCATTACATATTTAAATTTCAAATAAATAAATAAAGAAAATCGAATTATGTTAACAAGATTTTCTTGGAAACTGTTGAAAAATTGACATCATTTTCAAAGTTTGTTTGGACCTTTCGTCTTCGTCTTCCCTTTTAAGTAGACCAAACTGATCATAGTGAGAGTTCACTTCAGATTTCTCTTCTTCGTCTTTGTTGAATCCTCTATAAAGATTTACTTTCTACTTGCCAATCTATTTTCGTGCCTTCTAAACCAAGATACGTATTTAGGTTATTTCCAACATAACTCAGGTTAGTTCTTGCTGTCGCTTCGATGAATAATCTTATAGAAAGGCGAAGGGTCATGGACCAGAACGAGAAAACAAGTCTGGTCGATAGAGTATTTTCGTGGTCTATCAAAGATATTCTCAATAAAGATCTCTACAAGCAAAAGGTTTTGTTCTCTTTTAACTCTTTTCTTTGATAAGATTATAATTTTGTTATTTATAGATAAACGTTTATATATTTTGTAACAGTTAAAGACAGTACCAGACAAGTTTAGGTCCGTTGATGAATATTATCAATGTTTTGTTCCTCATCTACTCGTGGAAGCACATACCGAGTTGTTCTCAAGCTTCAAATCTGTGTCGAAATCTCCTGTTGTTCAAATACGTTCTATGGAAACAAAGATGAAGCAATCAAGAGGAACCTCATCAAACAAGTTGGTCTATGATATAAACTTAAAGGTCGCAGAGAGTTTTAGTGCCAAGTACCAGCCAAAATGTGGAGATCTTATAGCTCTAACAATGGAAAAGCCAAGACGGATCGATGACTTGAACCCTTTACTTCTCGGTTATGTATTTTCTTCAGATGGTGATCTTAAAATCTCTGTTCATTTGTCTAGATCGATATCACTTGTCGAGAACTATCGATTTGGTGTTTTCCTCATGACTTTAACGACAAACACTCGTATTTGGAATGCTTTGCACAACGAAGCTGACATATCGACTCTTATCAAGAGTGTGCTTCAGGCAAATACTTTGGTAATAATCTTCTTTGGCTTTTTTTTGTATATCTGTTGATCTGAATATGTTTTTTAAAATATCTTTGCATTTGATGGATACGTTGTTCTTGTCTCTCTAATGCATAATGATTAATTTATATTTTATGTTACAATTGAGTTTTTTTTTTTTGCCTGTGTTTCAGGGCTTAGAACAATGTTTTTTTTTTTTTTGTTTTGGTAATGATTGAGTTATGTTTTATGATACAATGAAGTAATTTTTGTTTTGCTTGTGTTCCAGGGTTTGAACAATGTTTTTGTTCTGGTAATGATTTGAGTTATATTTTATGTTACAATTGAGGAAATTTTGTTTTGCTTGTGTTACAGGGTACAGAACAATGTTTTTGTTCTGGTAATGATGTTGAGAGATCTGACCTTGTTTTGGATATAATCCGTTCAACGAAATTGAACTCTTCCCAAGAGGCTGCAATCTTGGGGTGCCTTGAGACAAGAAAGTGTAATCATAAGAATAGTGTGAAATTGATTTGGGGACCTCCTGGAACAGGCAAAACAAAGACGGTCGCGACTCTTCTCTTGTCCCTTCTCAAACTAAGGTGTAAAACAGTTGTGTGTGCTCCTACAAACACAGCTATTGTACAAGTTGCATCAAGGCTCTTGTCTGTATTTAAGGAAAATTGTTCATCAGAGCATGCTACTTACAGGCTAGGGAATATTGTTCTATCTGGAAACCGGGACAGAATGGGGATTAACAAGAACGATCATGTCCTTCTTGATGTGTTTCTTGATGAGCGTATTGGTAAGCTTGGTAAACTGTTTTCACCATTTTCTGGATGGATGCAGAGATTAGAGTCACTGATACAGTTTCTTGAAAACCCGGAGGGTAAGTATGAGAGACATGTCTACGAGTTAGAAGAAGTTGAAAGAATGGAGGAAGAAGTTGAAAGGCAAGAAGTTGTTGTTAACATTCCTACGTTTGGAGAATTCGTAAAGAAGAATTTCAATAGCTTAAGTGAAGAAGTGGACAAACGCATGGTTGATTTGTACACACATCTTCCCAAGTCTTACATTTCATCTCAAGATGTGAAGAAAATGATTGCTTCTCGTCAAGCTCTTCAACGTGTCAGATATTTCTTGCAGGAGAATTCTTCTAGAGTTGATTTCAAAGAAGGAAATTTCAAATTTGATTGCTTCAAAAGACTCATCAGTGTTGATTGCCTTGCGGCTCTACGTTTACTTCCAAAACGTTTTGAGATACCGGACATGTTGGAAAACGAAGATATTAGGAAATTTTGCCTACAAAACGCGCATATAATCCTCTGCACGGCTTCTGGTGCTGCTGAAATGAATCCGGAAAGGACAGGAAATATAGAACTTCTTGTGGTTGATGAGGCCGCTCAGCTTAAGGAATGTGAATCAGTTGCTGCATTGCAACTTAAGGGACTGCATCACGCCATTTTAATAGGAGATGAGTTTCAATTGCCTGCAATGGTACATAATGAGGTACTCACTGACCTTAAGTAAACTGTCTTCTTTTTCCCAAATCGTATACAATATTGTAATCTTGGGATAATGTGGCAGATGTGTGAAAAGGCGAAATTCGGAAGAAGCTTGTTTGAAAGATTGGTTTTGCTTGGTCATAACAAACATTTGCTTGATGTTCAATATCGAATGCATCCTTCGATTAGTCGTTTCCCTAATAAAGAGTTCTATGGTGGGAGAATCAAAGATGCTGCGAATGTTCAAGAAAGCATCTATCAAAAGAGGTTTCTTCAAGGAAACATGTTTGGTTCATTCTCCTTTATCAATGTTGGACGTGGAAAAGAGGAGTTTGGTGATGGACATAGTCCCAAGAACATGGTTGAAGTTGCTGTCATTTCTGAAATAATATCCAATCTTTTCAAAGGTATTATTAATCTTTATTGATTTTTAATCTATTTATTATAATTCTGTTGTACTAATTTGCATAATTTTGAAATAGTTTCAAGTGAAAGAAGGATGAAGATGAGTGTTGGAGTGGTTTCACCTTATAAAGGACAAGTGAGAGCAATCCAAGAGAGAATCGGAGATAAGTACAGTTCCTTATCAGGTCAACTTTTCACGTTTGAATGTTCGGTCGGTAGATGGGTTTTCAAGGAGGAGAAGAAGATGTTATCATCATCTCTACCGTTAGAAGTAACGGTAACGGGAAGGTTGGGTTTCTCAGTAACCGTCAAAGAGCCAACGTGGCACTGACTCGAGCAAGGCATTGTTTATGGGTGATTGGAAATGAGACCACTTTAGCTTTGAGTGGTTCGTTTTGGGCAAAAATGATAAGTGAGTCTAGGACACGTGGATGTTTCTACGATGCTGCTGATGAGAAGAATCTAAGAGATGCCATGAGTGATGCTTTGCTTGAGGATGTGTCTTCAAGTCTTGGATCTCTTTCTATCAGGAGTGGCTATGGGAGAAGAAATGCTTGGTAGATTTTTATATGAACTTGTTTTAAGTTTATGTGTGTTTTCTTATCAAACTCTGTATGGTCTTTTTATGATGTTTTATGATATTTATGGTTTTCAATATTTTTCTTTTGTTAAAGTTTATGGTTTTTACTTGTGAGAATCCATTCGCTTTTATCAAAAAAAAAAAAACTATTTGTTGGGGTCGGATTCCACCCTTTGGCGCCGAGCCAGACTTAGAACACTTCGGGAGTCTTTCAGAGATCACCTCGGGGCGTCGCATCATTCACCTCGGGATATCTGTCTAATCGATTTAGTATACCCGAGCCCATCGCCTCGGGGATACTTTAACAAGACGTTTCAGGTACCCGAGCCCATCGCCTCGGGGATATCCTGAACAAGACGTCGAAAGCATCCGAGCCCAATTGCCTCGGGGGTACCCGAGCCCATCGCCTCGGGAATACCCGAGCCTGGTCGCCTCGGGAGTTTCTGAGCCCATCGCCTCGGGGACACCCGGAGAAGCCATCCTAGAGTGCCCGAGCCAGTCCTTCCTGTGTACCCGAGCCGATTGCACAAGTTTCTCCGAGGTGAAGTCTTCATAATCGTCCGAGGTAAAGACTTAGTAAATATTCGCTTTCAAAGTATCATTTCCAAGTAAGGTATCATTTCCGCCAAGAAGGATCATTTCCGATATACCCGGAAATGATAAGAAAGAATCTAGAAGGATCGACTCAAATCAGGAAATCTCCCAAAGACTCCGAAAAATAAGGAAACTATCCTAATCCGCGATATTCTGAGCCGACTTCAAGATAAATGGAAATCTTCCGAGAATATCGCTGGAGAGGCGGTTTATCACCTATATATAAAGAGACTCAAGGCTCAAGCAAAGGACAGGCAATATCGCTCTAGAATTTACACTACGCAAAGCTCTCACAGCACAAACATCTTTTTCCTTTTACGATCAAACTCTTGTACGATCAAAGTCGCCTCTTTTCATCAATAATATCAAGAACACCATCTTTGGTTACAAATCGTTTCTGTTGTTCTTTGAGAATTCACGATTATCGTATCCCTAAAATAAAACCCTAGACAAATCTCGATTGTGTTAGTTTCGACTTCCACAGTTTGGCGCCGTCTGTGGGGATTACTTTAGAATTCTCTTACCCTAAGAACGCAAAACTCGAATACCAGAGAGGATGGTGAACGAAGACGATCGTCAGGCACCGCCACCCGGAGGAGGGAACCCTAACCCTCCGAACCCTCCTTCTAGCGCCACTCAAGCCGATCCGACGATCATAGCAACTCTAGCCGAATTAAAAGATCTAATGGTTAAATTCCAGAAGAAAGCTGACGACCAAGAGAAAGCTAACAAAACCTTGGCGCAGCGAGTCGACGAAATCGCAACACGCGGGCAACAAAAAACCACACGTTTCCAGACTCGGCCGCCACGAGCTCGGAGGGACTTGCCTGGCATCAACCCAACGAGACTCACGTTTGCGACACCAACCGGCAACACCAGAGTCGCAACCCGAGCCGACCCTGCCAGATACGAAAACCGAGATGATCCCACCGAGCCGGACGCAGTGGACTTGACGGACGAGCCAGATGATCTGCAAGATGAGCGTACCCGAGCCGGAGCTAACTCCGCCGAGCGAACAGATCTCACTGACGACGAAGAAACCGAGGAAAACATAAGGTGGGCCGAAGAATCCGAAAGAGAAGACGAGCTAAGCAAAATCCGAGCCTCCCTAGCCAAGGCGGAAGCTGATATGAAGCTCGTCAAAACCCAGATACATAGCGTCTCATCCTCCGCACCGAACATCGACCGAATTTTGGAAGAATCTCGGAATACGCCTTTCACCAAAAGAATTTCCGAAACGACGATGTCCAATCTGGGAAAATTCAAAATCGACTCTTACAACGGATCAACCGATCCAAAGTGCTACATTAAATCGTTCGTGATATCTGTGGCCCGAGCCAGGTTCAAACCCGGCGAAAAGGATGCAGGTCTGTGCCTACTGTTCGTGGAACACCTCAAAGGACCCGCATTAGAGTGGTTTTCAAGATTGGAACGAAACTCGATCGATAGTTTCGACGAGCTGTCGACATTGTTCCTCAAACAATACTCCGTGCTCATCGACCCCGGAACTTCCGACGCGGATCTGTGGTCTTTGTCTCAACAGCCCACCGAGCCATTAAGGGATTTCCTCAAAACCTTCAAATCGACGCTAGCCAAGGTCGAAGGAATTACGGATGTAGCAGCTCTCTCGGCTTTGAAGAAAGCTCTCTGGTACAAGTCAGAATTCAGGAAAGAGTTGAACCTGTCTAAACCAACAACAATTCGCGACGCGCTGCATCGAGCCTCGGATTTCGTCGCCCATGAAGAAGAAATGGCGCTACTAGCAAAGAGGCACGAGCCAACAAAACAGGCGCCCCGAGCCGAGAAAACCGAGAAAGCCCAAGCGACGCCTCCGGTCCAGAAAAAGACACGTGAGAGCAGTACGTATACGCATCACGAAGGACGCAATTTCTCAGGATACCATAGCTACCAGATTGACACGCCCTGAGGCCGTGGCCGCGGCAGAGGCCGAGGCCGTGGGCGAGGAAGAGAGTCCTTTACTTGGACAAGGAACAGCCACCGAGCAATGATCAAGAATATTGCGAACACCACAAAATTTTCGGCCATCATACCTCGAGATGCCGAAGCCTCGTAGCCAAGTTAGCAACCAAATTCCTAGCTGGAGAGCTCGGGACAAACGTTACTCTTAAGGACCTCGAGCCAGAACCGGAGCCCGAGCAGACCAACCCAGGAAGAGACCCCGAACCAAGGAACCAGGAGTCTCAGAAAAGAACTCCGGGGTCGGAAGACGAAGACCGAGATGGTACGCGGCAGAAGGTTCTTACCATAATGGGTGGATCGCCATACTGTCCTGACACCATAGCGGCAATCAAAGCTTATCAACGCCGAGCCGAGACGCCTAGCAATTGGACAAGACGCTTCGATCGACCTAATGACGTGATCACATTCGAAGAAAGCGAGACAAACGGGCTCGACATGCCTCATAACGATCCAATCGTCGTCACATTAGCGATAGGAGACCATGATATTTACCGAGTGTTAATTGACACCGGCAGCACCATTGACGTGATCTTTCGCGAAACGCTCCAACGAATGAACATCGACATGTCACAGGTGATTCTGACCCCGAGGCCTGTCCTCGGATTTTCAGGGGAAACTTTGATGACGCTTGGAACCATCCAACTACCAGTCCGAGCCGGCGGGGTAACAAAGATAGTCAACTTCTCAGTCACCGACCGACCTACCATCTACAATGTCATAATGGGGACTCCGTGGTTAAATCTAATGCGAGCTGTCGCATCAACATATCATCTGTGTGTCAAATTCCCGACCCCTAATGGCGTGAAAACGATATGGGGCAGTCAGAAAAATTCTCGGATGTGTTTCATGGCAGCACACAAACTCCGAAACCCTGTCACTGAAGCAAAGGCTGAAACCGATCACAAGAAATCAAAACTTGGCCGGAGTGAAGAGAAGGCTATATCTAAACAGTTATAGCAATTACAGATCGAGGAGGCACGCGAGGAGAAGAAGCCTACCTCGGATCCTGTAATCTCCATTAGCCTCGACAACGAACGGCCTGAACGATGCGTGGAAATTGGCAGCGATTTAACCGAAGAAATCAAGACCGAGCTCATCTCATTCCTCAAAGAGAACATCGACACCTTCGCCTGGTCGGCTGAAGATCTACCTGGGGTAAGCATCGACGTAATCTGCCACGAGCTGAATGTTGACCCATCTTTCAAGCCCATCAAGCAGAAGCGAAGAAAATTGGGTCGGGATCGCGCAGATGCTGTGAACGCCGAAGTAGAAAAGCTCCTGAAGATCGGCTCGATCTCCGAAGCAAGATATCCGGACTGGTTAGCAAATCCTGTCGTGGTTAAAAAGAAGAACAGCAAGTGGAGAAACTGCGTCGATTTCACCGATCTGAACAAAGCTTGCCCAAAAGACAGTTTTCCGCTCCCACATATCGATCGTTTAGTGGAAGCAACCGCGGGAAATAAGTTGCTATCATTCATGGACGCTTTCGCAGGATACAATCAGATTCTCATGCACCCCGACGATCGCGAGAAGACAGCGTTCATCACGGACCGAGGTATCTACTGTTACAAAGTCATGCCCTTCGGACTCAAGAATGCCGGCGCAACGTATCAACGGCTCGTCAACAGGATGTTCTCCGAGCAGCTCGGGAAGACGATGGAAGTTTATATCGACGACATGTTAGTCAAATCCCTTGAAGAAAGCGATCACATAGCCCATCTACGCGACTGTTTTCGCCAGCTCAACAAGCACAACATGAAGCTCAATCCAGCAAAATGTCGTTTCGCGGTAAAGTCGAGAGAATTCTTGGGATATCTCGTAACTCACCGTGGCATCGAAGCAAACCCGAAGCAAATCGATGCTCTACTGAACATGCCCTCACCACAGAACAAGCGCGAAGTCCAATGTCTCACCGGGAGAGTCGCAGCCTTGAACCGATTCATCTCGCGGTCCACCGACAAATGCCTGGCTTTTTACGATACTCTGCGCGGAAACAAGAAATTCGAATGGACCGATCGCTGCGAAGAAGCTTTCCAGGAACTGAAGAAGTATTTGGCTAATCCACCGGTGTTAGCGAAACCAGTCCCGGGCGAGCCACTATTCCTGTACATTGCAGTCTCCGATACGGCTATAAGTGGAGTCATAGTCAGGGAAGACAGAGGGGAGCAGAAGCCGATATTTTATGTCTCGCAAACCTTCACCGACGCGGAAACACGCTACCCGCAAACTGAAAAACTCGCCCTCGCCGTAGTAATGTCAGCTCGGAAGCTACGGCCATATTTCCAGTCTCACTCAATTGTCGTCATGGCGCCCGTATCACTCCGACCATCCTGCACAGTCCGAGCCAATCGAGACGCTTGGCAAGTGGGCGGTAGAACTCAGCGAGTATGACATCGAATACAGGAACAAAACATGCGCGAAATCTCAAGTCCTGGCCGATTTTATCATCGAGCTGCCAACGGAGAACGCCCGAGAAGAGTCACCCAACGCTGTTTGG